TCTTATATGTGCACTTATGTGTTGATCAGTTAATACCAATTCAATGGTGAGTACATGTGGTGTTTGTCTTTCCATTCTTGGGATACCTCACTTAGTAGAATGCGTTCCAACTCTATCCAGGAGTATACAAGAGGTGCTGTGTTCTTTCTACCAGTCTAACTACAGATCATTTGTAGCGCTCCTGGCCTAGGCACTCCATCTTAATTAGAGACATGAGAACAATGCCTTTTTCTTTCTTTTTTTTTGGGGGGGGGGCGGTGGGAAAGAAGCCTAATTTCTACACAAGGTATCTTAACCCTGCCCACATTGTGCTATGGTATATCACTAGTTCATGCTGACTTTATCTTCTTCAGACTGTCATGACCTGAATTGCACTTTCCTGCTTCCAGACAAAACCAAACTTTCCTTCTTGAAGGGGAAATTTAATGTGTGTGCAGGACACTTTTCTCCTGAGCAGTCCCCTCCTCTTTTGCATATTTTGATGCAAAGACAGTAGAACCATTCTAAGGGATGATGATAGATCTTGGTGACAGTAAGGCATCAAAATATTTATTCAAAGAGAATTGCAGAATATTATAAGAAGGGATTATAATTAGTTAAGAAGAATTTATTAATCAAATAATTGTTCTGATGGCTTTCAATTTTATTATGACCATTTGAGATTACCTTAATCTACAAATTGCATATAGAAATTCTGTGTTATTTAGCAGGATGGAAAATGTCCTTTAACTTAACCAAATATTTATATAATAGTATTTTCATGATAGTCTGACCATCATGATTTATTGTTGAAAACTACAAGTGATCAGTTTAAGTCTTCAAGTCTGAGACTGGGTTTTTAATCTCAATCTTCTAATAAAGTTAAAAATATCATCATTTATGATTTTTAAAAAATGACCACTTGCCTACCTACTTTATATTTTAATTCTAGCTATGGTATATGTTTATAATGTTTTAGACCTCAATAAATGTTCTTCAGAGATTACATGGTAATAATAATAGTGATAATAATATTTAACACATATACAACACTGTTATAAGTGCTTTACACAAATTAAGTAATTTAATGTTCCGAAAATCTCTAAGAAGTAACATTTTTATCCCCATGAGACACTGAAGTGTATGTTAGTTAAATATTAAAGCTAGTAAATGGCAGCACTAAAATTTCAACTCTGATTCCATTCTGTATTTCTAACCTCTTTGATGTAATGCTTCAATATAATCAAAATTAAATTTTATCCTGTTAACAGATATTAAAGTATCTGTGTGCTGGGTGTTATACTAGCTTTAGAATATGCAGCACTGAACAAGATGGGCACACTCCTTGCCCTTCAGAAGCCTGTAGTCTAGTGAAGGCATATGAAGTTTGTTAGTAGAGGTGTTTATGTTCATGGCCTCCTCAGTATCATGGACACACAGAACCTCAGAGTGTGATGTGGTATCGTACCTTTGAAGTCATACAGGCTAACCTTTTCCTCATTCATGAATCCCAATTATATACCCTTGTTCAGCCATGGAGAACTCAGCCTCTCATGAGGCAGCCCACTCCATTTCAAGGCGACTCTAATTATTAAAGGGTTCTTCCCTTTAATAAAGATGGGAGCTGGAAGGTCCTGTTAGTATTTCTGGAGGTTGGCCAGCAAAGAATTTAACTGTGTCAACCCCCTCAGCATATTTTCTTTGTGGAAAGGACTGCAAGCATTTACTTGGTAAGGATTTCTGGCTCTGTTTAATCTATGTGGCAGCAAATTGTGCCACAATGCAGTAAAACGCCATTAGTTACATCAAGAATTTTCCACCTCGTAGAGGGTCAAGAATTTTTCATGAGAAGTGCTGATTCTTTCCATGTGATTTAAATTTTTTGAGTAGTTCCAATTTCAGATGGTGAAACCAGATTGTATTTTCATAGGTAAACAATTTCCTAGCTACACTAGGTGGCAGTAGATAAAAGAGAATAAAACGTCTGCAAGCAGTCTCTTTGGACAGCAAGCCTAAGATTAAAAGGAAAATGAATCACCCTCAGTTTTCTTATCTTTGTCTCAACTCCAGACTCAGAGCTACCAGGAGGAGGCTGTTCTGCTGTATGGAACAGCCAGAAAGAAACAAAGGTTTTTGGCTAGCTGAGCCAATAGCTCATTGTCACCTTGCACAGGTTTATCCCTTCTTTACTTTAACATGGCAATTACTGGGTATGTGCACTGCCTCCTCTAACACATTGGCTGGATAGTTATAAAATGTTCCTACTATTTCTAAAGCTACAGCTATACCCATCAAGCATAAGTGCTTTTAAAACCATTGCACTCCTCTCATCACTGGCTCAGCCCTCATCGCTGCAGTCCTGGTCTATATCGCAGTAGTGTCCTCACTGCCATCCCTAATTTATTCTTGATAATCTGCATGTCTCTGTCAGATTATTCTTTCTAAAGCACATTTCAGCCTCCAACTTCTGTCCCTTCCCAAATTCCTTCACCCTTCACTATTTGTCCCTTGCCAACCTCTCTAATTGTCTCTTCTTTCTACTCCTACGTAAAAGTATTGTGTCAGTATTCTGCTGTTATCCTGAAGAATGCTGTTTAACTCATCTCTGTTGGTCTGTTTTGCTTTTATTTTCTAGACCTTTTCTTAAAGCTGCGTTTCCTCCATAGGAAGCCTTTCTCACTAAGTGCTTAGTCAACAGTTTCTTCTTTGAGGTTCTTCAGTACACTTTTTGTTGGTACTGTTCATCTGATGATAAAGTTCTGTTATCCTTGTTGCCCTTTGTTTACTTCTTTTATATTCATTACGTTTGAATTTTTTTTGATTGTTTTAAATTCTGAAATAACCTCCCTCAAAGATCGTCACCATTCTAAGTAATCATTCTCTTGCTTTCCTTTGTAATTTTAGTATGTATGTTTGAATCTACAATTAAATATTGTTTAGTTTTAAATGGTTTTGAACTTCATATAAATGGTATCATTGAATATTTTTTTATAACTTGCTTTTCCATTTTTTCATTTTTTTACTTTTTAGAGACAGGGTCTTGCTCTGTCACCTAGGCTAGAGTGCAGTGGTGTGATCATAGCTCACTCAACCTTGAACTCCTGGGCTCAAGCAGTCCTCCCTCCTAGCCTCCCAAGTAGCTGGGACTACAGGTGCACACCACCGCACCCAGCTAGTTTTTGTATTTTTTGTAGAGACTAGGTCTCACTATATTACTCAGACTGGTCTTGAACTCCTGGCCTCAGGCAATCCTCCCAAAGTGCTGTGCTGAGATTACAAGAATGAGCCATCTCGCCCAGCCTTCTTTTTCATTTAAAGTTAAAATCTGAGATTTATAATATGAATTCTGAATTCATATATTCATATGTTGTTACACATAGTTGTATTGTATTTGTTCCCACTGCTATGTAGTATTCTAATGAATTTATCACAGTAGTAATTCCCAGAATCTCTTTAATTGTTGACAGACATTTGGGGTATTTCCAACTTTTTTGGCCATTACAAAAAATGCTACTATAAACAATGTTGGCATTATTGAACTTTCTAGTTTTTGCAATCTAATAGGTATTAAGTGGTAGTTTGCTTTAATTTCTACTTTTCTCATTACTAATGTTTCTGAATATCTTTTTATATGCTGATTGTTAGGTTTTCACTTCTATAATTTTTTTCCTGTGTTGCTGTCCTTTTCACATTGGTTTGTAGGTTTATCTTATATATTTTAGATATTTGTCCTTTTTCCATTTTCAACATCATAATATCTCCTCCTCTTCTGTTATCTCATTGTTAACTTTGTGATGACCATTATTAAACAGAAATCCTGAATTTTGGTATAATCAGATACATCGGTTTTGGGGGGGTTGTATTGTTTTGCCTTAAGATTTTGCTTTTGCCATTTTTGTGTAAGATAATTTTTTCAGCCTCTGTTTACAAAGATATTCTTATGCATTTACTTCTTAACTTTAGAGTTTTAATATAACATTTAGCTTTATAAATGCCCACCTTCGTATGTAGTATTAGGCAGGAATCCATATAGTGAGTTTTTCAATTACAAATTGAAAGTTTTTTCAGTTAGAAATCATCCTTCCTCTGCTGATTTGTGGTGCCATTTTTCTCTTATATTTATTTTCCATATGTACAGCACGCTGCTTCTGAGCTCTTTATTATATAGCTTTCTATTTATTTGAGCTTTCTTTAATAACATGTTTTATTCTTTTTTTATAAGGTCTTATACATCTTTGTATGTTTTTTTCTGATGTATTTTAAAAAAATCTTGAAGTATTATAAATGGTATCTTTAAAATTTACCCTTTTTTTTTTTTGGAGACAGAGTCTCGCTCTGTCACCCCAGCTATAGTCCAGTACAATGGCATCCTTGTAGCTCACTGCAACCTCAAACTCTTGGACTCTAGTGATCCTCCTGCCTCAGCCTCCCGAGTAGCTTGGGACTACTGGCACATGCCACTACACCCAGCTAATTTTTCTATTTTTTGTAAAAACGGGGTCTCGCTCTTGCTCAGTCTGGCCTTGAACTCCTGAGCTCAGGCGATCCTCTTGCCTCTGCCTCCCAGAGTGCTAGGATTACAGGAATGAGCCACTGTGCCAGGCCTACAATTTACATTTTCTAATTGTATGCTAGAAATGCAATTGATCTTGCAAATTGATTTTGGGTTTAGAAATCTTATTAAGCTTTCTTATTAGTTCTAATTATTTAGCAATATATTCTTTTGGGATTTCTTCATAGATAATTATATATGAATGACAATTTATTTCTTTCTAATTCTTACATCTTAACATCTCTTATTTCCTTTTCTTGTCTTACTGAACTGACTAGGATTTTTTTCTGCGTCTTTTAAGGTGGGTCATTTTATTTTATTTTTAGTATTCCCTGGTAGATAAATTTCATTGATTTTTTAAAGTGAAAACAGTCTTTTCTTTCTGGGATAAATTCAACTTTGTCATAATGATCTTCTCTTTTACATTGATAGGATTGGTTACGCTAATATTTTACTAAAAATTTTTGCCTCCATATTCATGAATATGCCAATATATTTTAATTTTAGAATATATTAAGAAATACCCTCTAGGTTTTTACAAATAGCATTTGGTTTCTCATGGTATAAAAATCTCATATTAACTTTTTTTATGTATACACACAGATTAATCCAAAGCTTGAGGTAATCGATTTGCAGAGCTCTACTCCCCCTGTTGTGGATATCTTTTCTTTTGCTTCTACCACAGTAAGTTTTTTGTTTTTTGACATTTAAGTGGTGTTTAGTTATTTGGCACAATCCATTTTCCTTAAAAAGTATCGGAGAGGGGATAAAATGTGGGCTTAAGTAACCCAACATTTTAGACCAGAAAGAACCTTCTACAAGTCATATTTACAATGTATCTGAGTAGCCACAAGGGGGAGCAGCACCAATTTTAAGGACCCTCAGCTCAATCTAATCCATACTCTTCATCTATTAAGATGCCACCCAGGTGACATTTCACATGCCATCACAGGGCAGATTCCCTAACGTGTTGTTTGTCCTTCAGAGGTGCTAAACTTAACTTCTAGTCTCTTTAGAAGCTATAGGAAAAGCAGTCACTTCCCTTTGTTAATCTTTTTTGATGGATGCTCCAGAAATTCAAAAGTATTTCTAATACTTGCAATTTTGTTTATAAAATTTATTTTTTAGAATTAATGCATTTATTTAATGTATTCAAAGTCTTCAAAGATTGGAGTTTTAGCTTTTCAGTTTAGAAATCTGCTTTATCTTTTCAAGGCACATCTTTGACACAGTTGATTCTGCTAGTCAGTGCAAAACTAGTTGTAAGAACAAACGAGAAGAACAGCCTAGTCTTTGACGACACGGCTGTTAGAGTGTCAGTTTAGTTGAATATTTTGGTTAAATTTTTAATAGCGGCAAAGAAGAAAACAAAAAACATATGACATTACGTATGACATATGACATTACAAACTCTCCAATAGTATTCGTTGTAGAGGAATTCTGCAGAGGACTAGTCCATTTTGAGTCTGTCCTATACCAGAAAGCACTCTAATTATTCAAGGGTCCTTTCAGCTTTAATCCCACAGCAGAGAAGACTTCTAGATCTCTCACAAGAAGTTTCAGTGACAGAATCCAACTGAGAGTAACCAAGGGGCTGATTGTCAAAGGGAATTCAGGGAATCACTGGTAACAACTAGGACTTCAAGCTTCTCTGTGGTGTTGTCTCTTACAATGTTCATGTTTATAAAATAACCCTATCAGCATTTCTGCATTAATAACTTATTTATGGAATTAAAAATTAACTAGACATCTAAAACTTGCCACAGTGCTTGTTTTATAGTAGGTGATCAGTACATTTATATTCAATGAATTACTCCAAATGCATGTTGTTGAAACTTACAAATTCTGGTGAGTTAGGTTTTTCTCCCTATAGTAAGAGGGAGCAAAATACAGGTGGTTCGTAAGATGTCTTGCCTCCCTGTGAGATACTCTTAAAATTCAGTATTCCTGACCTAGAAAATATCGCAGATTATCAAAATCTTTGGTCCCTTTTGAGACTCACTCTCTCCTTGCCAGGCTTTGCAAAGTCTCCTGACCTGAAGAATTCACAGTCTCAACAAACAATACTGTGGAGGTGGGCATCACTGCCACCTAGCATATACTGGCTGTCATACAGACATAGACAACCGGGTATCTGTCCCTCTGTGGTAATCCAGAGGTGCCAAAGTCAACTAGTCCACATTACAGGACTCTAACTCAGGGAATATGGTGTATGTAGGAGTTTGAGAGGACAATTCTGCGTAACAAATGTGGCACTTAACGGTTGTGCTACCAAACGGTATAATAAAATAGAAGAGTAAAATTATTATCCAGATAAGAGATAATATGAGGTTTAATTATATGAAATTGTCATTTTGTAGGTAAAAACAATCTAATATTGGTGACTTCACATGGTTTCATCCAATATATAAGCATTAAAAGAAAGACTCACTGTTACTTTGAGTTGTGTACTTGATGCTACATGAAAATAAAATAAGCAAATAAGAAAACACAGGAAAACAAAATCTTGTTTGCTATAAATTGGATTGGAATTATGCTAATGAAGCCCTATCTAGACAGATTCTCCATCAATCTGTAAAGTAGTTGCTTGACTCCAGGCAGACGTAAAGACTTTATTTTACTTATGCATTCTGAAGATACAGATACTCATAAAGCATTTAGATTTTTAAAAAGAATATCCCTAAAAAGCTTTCCTTTAAATTTTTGATGTATACGTCTTTATTTTGGTTCAATGATGGATAATTGATTAGAGAACTAAAATGAAATTACTTTTTTAGCTGTTTGCTTTCTCATTAATGTAGAAGTAAGTAATTCTGAATCAATAGTCTCCTCTCTGCATTGACTGTTTCTCTCTTTGCTTCTGCACAACAAATCAGACATAATTATAAAGTAAATTTATTTCTGCTTTGGCATGAAACACAATTGCATTAAATATTTTTGGTGTGCACTTTGCATGTGATTGGAATTTTAAAATCCAGAGAAATATTGGAAGTCAAAGAAAGCAGTGTTAAAAGGTAGTTTTTGTGTTTGCTATTGTGGTTACTGTTTCTTTTGGGGGTTGGTTTGGTTGTTTTTGTAGACCTGAAGGAAGTTTCCATAGAAATTCATTTTATGAAGATAGGACATAGAAAGATTACTCTAAACTTTAATTTTTCAAATTTCTTAGTAAAATAAAAGCAGGTTTGTTATGGTGTAAGAAACAGCTTCTATTCCCACTTTCACTTGATTTAATTACATTCAGGATGATTTGTAGGCCCACATGTACTGGTATGTATGCTCTGATGTCGTCTTACTACAGAGAAGAAATTATGGCATACAGTGTAACAGTTGGTATCTTTGTGGCTTACACTTGTGTCTCTAATGCCAGAGAGGAAATATGATACAATATTTGGGGATAAAAATATGCTGTTACCTCCATCTGCATTTTTAAAGCTTTATTGTGTTAAAAAAAAAAAGTTTCTGTAAAGGGATATACTGGCTGTCATATGGACATAGTTTAAAAATGTTGATCTCAAATTCCTGAATCTTTATTCTGATTAAATTAATTCACTTATTATAGACTAATTTTCTAAAGATTATTTAGTTTAAAATTCTATTTGAGTCTTTTAATATTTTCATTTGTTTAGTTAGAACTAGACCAGGGTTCTGTCATTAAAATTGTACTAGGGCATTTAGCTTTAGCATTGCCATGTGATGTGGCCACATGGGGTATTCCAGACTCCCTCCGCCACCCTCCCCCTAAAAAAAGGCAAGCAAGACAGGAATTTCTCTTCTGAATCCTAATATAAAGAGGTTGTGTGTTTTTTTTAACTAACTATAAATAAAATTTTTTAAATACTGTAGGATTATTAAAATTTTTTATCTTTAGGTAAATTATATTCTTAAATTTTGATGTATTAATTTTATTATTGTTTGTACTACAAATGAACAAAATGAACTTGGTAATCTTGCTATTGTTCCCTTGATTGTCCAAATACTGGACTCTTCTCAGAGAACTGACACAGTGTTCCCATCTTCACCCTGGCAACTATGCAGAATATGAATGTAAAGACAGTATTTCAAGTCAAATTAGTTGTTTGTAATAAACTGAGAACTTGCAATTTACATTATAGAAAAAAATCAGTCAAAATAGTTAAAGACATACTACATGAAGGCATTACATGAGATGCTGATGGGGGTGTCAAGCTGGCTGCCTGACCCCAAGAAACATACAGCTTAGCCAGATAGAAATAATTGAATAAGAAATAAGTGTCAGTTTCAATACACTAGATGCCAAGTATACATGACTGTCAATGAAATATTGTTAATGGATATATTCAGAACAAATTAATAGGCTGGAGGAAACTAGAAGATTTCTCTAGAAGAAAAACCTTTGACTAGTTCTTGACCTAACCAGAGATGGGAAGTGTTTTGATGGGGGCATTCCAGGTAGGGAAAGCAAGGTATAAATACATGCCTCAGAAGAATATGAAAATGGGTACCATGGTAATAAAAAGTGCATCAGTCTAGTTTTGAGTCTTTACATTGCCTAACTCAATGGATGGTAAATGTGGTAGAATCCACATCTGCCTCTCACATACATATGTGTCTCTCAGTAAATATTTAACTATTCTGTGCCACTCACCATTCTTGGCTTTAGAGAAAGTGAACAAAACAAAAATACCTGCTTCAGAGAACCCTACATTCTACATTCTAGTTGGAGAGACAGGTAATTCACAGATTAAAAACAATAAACTATATAGTATAGTGGATGCAAAGGTGAATAAAAGCACTGACGGCAGATAGGAAGAGGGCTGCAATTTTAGATGATATGGCCAGGACAAGAGTCACATAACAGGTGGTATTTGAGTGAAGAACTGAAGGAATGAAGGGAGTAAGTCATGTGAATATCTGGGAAGGGCATTCCAGGATAGTGGGAGCAGTGATAGGAGGCCGGATCGTGAGTGACATGGGAGCCACTGGAGGGTTTCCAGCAGAGGAGGGACATGATTTGACTTACGTCTTAACAGGTTCACTCTGGCTGCTGCATGAGAATTGTCTGGGGGTGGTTGTGGGCAGGGGGCGGGTAGGGAGACTAATTAAGAAGCTAATGAAATAATCAGACAGGAGGCAATACTGACTTGACCCAGGGCGGTAGCTAAGGAGGGTAGTGATAAGCGATCAGATTCTGGATATATTTTGAAGGCAGAGCCAAGAGGATTTCCTGACAGATTGAATGTCAACTGTGGGATTCCCTGTCTCCTTTCCCTAGGGACAGTAAGGTGTAGCCCTGAGTAATCTCAGGATAGCTGAGAGCATCTCCTGGCTCTGCTTCGCTTTGGCAGAGGAGCCGCTGAGAGAAAATGAATCGTGGTTTTCCTGTCTTCTGTTTGAGGATCAGGAAAGTGATCGGCTGAGTCAGTGCAAGAGATACTTTGCCATTTCTGGGACTTTAGGAAGCGCACTCCTCCCTTCCTAAATGTCATTTGGATTTGCATTTTTCAGCAAAGTGCATTGGTTTCTTATTTGAAAGGTTTTTTTTGCATCAGCTTATTTTTAAGAAGAAAAACTTTACACACTTTTGTGGAGATCGTCATATGGTATATGCTGCTTGAAAAATATTAATGTTTTTGACAAAATAAGTGGACACACAGAGTAAAGTTGCAGATACAGAGAGAATATTTCCATGAATGTTGTGGCAACAG